ACATCTCCATCTTCAACCTCCACAGCATCTCCATCTTTAACCTCCACAACATCGCCATCTTCAACCTCCACCTCCACAACATCTCCATCTTCAACCTCCACCTCCAAAACATCTCCATCTTCAACCTCCACCTCCACAACATCTCCATCTTCAACCTCCACCTCCACAACATCTCTATCTTCAACCTCCACCTCCACAACATCTCCATCTTTAACCTCCACAGAATCTCCATCTACAACCTCCACCTCCACAACATCTCCATCTTCAACCTCCACCTCCACAACATCTCTATCTTCAACCTCCACCTCTACAACATCTCCATCATTAACCTCCACCTCCACAGCATCTCCATCTTCAACCTCCACCTCCACAACATCTCTATCTTCAACCTCCACCTCCACAACATCTCCATCTTCAACCTCCACCTCCACAACATCTCTATCTTCAACCTCCACCTCCACAACATCTCCATCTTCAACCTCCACCTCCACAACATCTCTATCTTCAACCTTCACCTCCACAACATCTCCATCTTCAACCTCCACCTCCACAACATCTCCATCTTCAACCTCCACCTCCACAACATCTCCATCTTCAACCTCCACCTCCACAACATCTCTATCTTCAACCTTCACCTCCACAACATCTCCATCTTCAACCTCCACCTCCACAACATCTCTATCTTCAACCTCCACCTCCATAACATCTCAATCTTCAATCTCCACCTCCACAACATCTCCATCTTCAACCTCCACCTCCACAGCATCTCCATCTTTAACCTCCACCTCCACAGCATCTCCATCTTCAATCTACTTGTATTCTCTCATCTTTACAACCTGGCCCCGCACACTATCTGAGTCCCCCCCCCAAGGACAGCCACTGAATAGGTGAACTTCAGCCTAATCTACATTGAGCTCTAACTGACTGACCATACAGGTCATCTAAACTCACACCCTGAGCCAGCTAAAGGAAACTGGGCCCCCTCCTCTTGAGTCTCCTATTCAACGTCTCCTCCTTTCATCAATCAAGGCACTTCTCCAAGAAAGGGTTGCTTTCATTTCGCTCCTAGGAGAGTTAGTCAGCCCAAGGGTCTCTGTGAGGTATATCGTAACAATTCATAGGGAAAGGTGCTATTTTAATCAAATTTGCTTCGATTTGATTTGTGCAACACACCAACTTCCACGCTGCCACCACAAGAGTAAGAATTAAAACCATGGCTGTCAAACCCTGTTGCTGGCTGTTTACTTTCAGGTAATTTCTAATTTAACACACCTGATGCAGCTAATTACGACAAATGAGACTGTTGGTTGTCGAATCAGATGCGTTTTGTTAGGTTTGGAGTGAAAACGTACCAGAAGGAACATGTCCAGATACTGTGTTGAGCAGCTCTGTTCCCAGCAGGGAAAAATCATGATATACCAGCCCTTACAGAGTAGATATGACCCCAATTTATGTCATAGCAAAGTGCTTCCTTAAAGTGCAGTTATCGCTGGATATTTCAACATGGAGTGATGATGGATAAACTCTATAGGCAATATAAGAACAAATGTCAAGACATACAGAAATATGATAAGTTTAAATGAGGAAATGTCCTAGTTTACAATGTACTGTGCGGCGTAAGGCTTAAGGGGTCTGATATCACATACCTGTGCCTTTTGTGAAGTCGCATGATCATCTTATCCAGGTAGTCCTGGTTGGGGACGTACTTCTTGCTGTCCAGATGTTGCATGTCAATGTCCTCATCATAATCGCCCAGTTCTGCTGCAGGCAAAATCCACACCCAACTCAATAACAAGTTGCTGCCTGTCAGAGGGTGGTTTCCTTTCTTTATGTCGCTAATTGCTGGACTCTGAAGTTAGGCACGACAATATTATGCACTGAATTATATTTTGCGACACATTTACAGCTGATACCAAGCGATGATTTCTATTATTAGAGTTCAGATATTTTAAAAGTAAAAAAAAAAGTCATTAATCAAATAAGTCATTACTGTCTTCACATTCACTTTTATTTTATCTGACTTCATTCGATTAGGCTAACAGTAAACCATGAGCTTGGCGAAACTTACACTGCAGTAAATAGGACACCAGCAGGGCGGCGCTGTTGTCATTGCAGGTGAGGCTTCCATTGGACAGGTCCTGTTTGATCTGTAGTGCAAACAGGTATCTGTGGAAACACACAGCGCAGGTGAGCACTAAGACACCTGAACAGGCTGGAACGGCATTCCTACATCCCTACATTCATAAAAGCTTATAGCGTCTTCCCGGAATTTACAACCTGCTCACACACACACACACACCTGGTCAGGTCCTTCTGTAGCTGCCCTGGATCCGGGGGGAAGAATTTGACGACAAAGCGGAAGGTGACATCAGCAGTGTCTGGGAGGAAAGAAGCAAAGGACTCTTGTGATTGGTTGAGTCCTGTCATGTGCGATGGCAACAATGTATCCAGTAAACCAGGAAGGACTAAAAGCCTCAGAGCGCGAGCCACCCATAAACACTGTTAATGCATTGTAGCTTTTCATCACAAAAATAAGCGGAGATCATTATTGTCTGCTGTTATTACAACAGCCACGGGGCTCGGTACAGTTCTGCTCTCAGGCCAGGGTACTGCCTTTTCAGTTGCATCTCTTAAATGACCTGAAACTTACTTTTAATCTGTTTCGCCAGCGGCTTCAGGAGCTCCACCCAAACCTGAAATAAAAATTGGCAAATATTTAAGAAAACATCGCATAAATACCAAACGTGAGTGCGCTAACTGAGGTACAGCTATCACTGCATCTAAATCAGTAGATAAATATCAAATCCCTCCACAGTCTTACAAAGGGTCAAACTCTCTGTCTCCTCGCACAATCTTGTAGGACCAATCCTTGGCTCTGCCCGTCTGGTGTACGCTAAATGCTGATCTACAGGATTTTAAGATACAAATTCGCAGTTTTTAAGATCTCAAGAAAACCCCAGACTAGGTCAGACGTGAGTCGATCAGAAACTCAATCGCAGCCGTCAAGATCCAGTCTTGAGTGAGACACTTGCAATAATTTCAAATTGTTTTGATCATAACTTCAATCTTAATGCGAATCAAAGCTCCCACAGACCACGTGGCATAAGGTCTCTGCTAATTGATTTTAAAAAGATGTTTAGCATACACAAGGCATTTTATTATTTATTTTATTTATTATTAGATCCCCAATAGCTGCTGGAACTTAACCGCAGCTATTCTTCCTGGGGTCTCACCGATTTCTTCAACAAAAAAATGTAGCGAACACAAAATACAAATACATTAATTCACATTCATACCCACAAACACACACCACACAGACACCTGCTCAAAACTTAATACAAATACAGTAGCTCTACATACTGACAATTAATTTCATTTCTGACATACCATAATACTCTAAGGGAAGCAAAAATAGCTCATTTTTACATCTTCCAACCAAATGTATAGAAATCCAACATATAAAACAGTAAAAAATAAATAAATAAAATAATAAAATCATACCTGCTGAGTAAATAGAAATAATTTAAGCTTTTTCTTAAACCTCAAAACATTGCTTTCTGAGATCAGAAAACGAGGTAATTCATTCCATGCCATCATTGCTCTGTCATGCATTGTTTTCTGTTTTAAACCAGTTCTACAAAGGGGCGACAAAAACCGACCCTCCGACGACTGTCGAGTGAAATGATGGTGTGTATCTGAAAAAAATGCTCATGTCCTGTATAATATTTCTGGTGTTTTTGTTGTCACTATGTTTTTGATAAGACATACTAGTGAATATTGCACCCTACATTTTACACTTAACCATGCTAATTGATCATTCATTATACTTACATTTGTTTGGTATGGGCATTGAAGGACTGAACGAGCTGCTTTATTTTGGGCCACCTGTAACCTATTCACATTACTTCCTGTTGTACTGGACCAAATTACTGAACAATAGTCTAAGTGTGACAGCACCAGTGCCTGCACCACTTGCTTTAATAAACGATTAGACATACACTTTCTGCAGTTTTTAATCACAGCCAAACCTCTACCCATTATTTTCACTATTTGATCTACTTGATTGTTGCAGGACATTTGACTGTCTACAGTAATTCCCAATAGTTTTACCTCAGTTACCTGCTCTATCTCTGTATTACCCATAGATATGTGAAGCTTAGGAGCTTCTCTTAATGAATATTTTGAACCTAAAACTATACATTTTGTTTTTCCCCTATTTAGAACTAGCCTATTTCTTATCATCCATTTTTCTGTTAACTCTAATTCCTTATTTAAGAAACTAATTCTTGACCCCACCCACAGATATTGTCAAGACCAAGCATCAAGTGTCACTCACATAGCCACCGATGTGGTGACGGAATTCCAAACCGAAGTATTCCTTCTCCAAGAGCTTCAGGCGTCCACACACTCTGTTATAGAAGTCACATCCCAGAATCCTCGGCTATAGCCAAAACAAACAAACAGACAGACAAAAGTTAATGCTGCCATCCAATGATCTAAAAACACTGTGTCACTTCACTTCGATAATTTCTTCACTTAAATGAAGTATGCACTGTCTCTATCAGGGGCTTTAAAGTAATTTTCAGGACCTTCAGAGTCAAAATATTTGTTTATGAAAAGTATATGATCCATTATGTCAATGGCAGATATACTGTTGTAGAAGGAGGGTGGTACTCAGCGATGTTGAATATGAAAAACATAGTACAAACAGGGGTAATCCTGTTTCCTGATGTTTCATTGTTCTATTGAATGTGCATTTATCCTCCTATTGTATGTAGGATCAAAGATATGCAATTTCCAGGGTAGTTAAACAAGAGGTCAAGGAAAATGAACAAGTCTTTTCCATGAAGCACAATGAAACATGCTCTCATCCCAACCTTACCAAATCACTCAGCTTGATCCCAGGTTATCTCACGACTGCCCCATACTCGACCCTTTTCCTTTTACCTTAAGATAAATCTAGAATGTTTACATAATTGGCATCTAAAATTATTGGGGGGGACATGGTAGCGCAGTGGTTAAGTGTGCTTGACTTAGGATTGAAAGGTCCTGAGTTTGAGTCCTTGCCACGGCTTTCGCGGTGTGTTCTTGGGTAAAAACACTTCACTCCCACAGTGTCTCACTCCATCCAGGTGTATAACTGGGTACCAGTAAATGGTCGGGGAAACCTGACTGAGAGCTGGGGGTAACCTGCGGTGGACTAGCATCCCGTCCAGGGGGAGCAGCAATACTCCTCGTCACTTCATGCAACCGAAACCAGGGTTAAGCACCGGCCTGATGAGCCAGCTGGGTTGAGACAGACATTGCCTTATCTAAAATTATTGCACATTTTGCCCTGCAGCTACTCTGAACGAGAATAAATGGGCAAGATAGTGGATGACTGTTTAGATTGACAAACTGATCTAAGCGAATTGTTGCATTTAAAACAATAAAAATGGAAATGAATATATTCTAAGAGCAAAAATCAAAAACAATAAGGTCTTAGCAGAGCAGTGCTCCAACCCACTATTCAACTGCAACCGAACAACATCTCAGAGCAGTTTATAAAACTAATTTGTTGGCCAGTACACTGAAAATCTACCTCCCTGTCCCTGTTTTTGAGAAAAGAAAGAGGAGAGAGGGGGTGAATACAGTCATCTCGTGCCCAGAGCTAAGAGCGCAGGAAGTGGGCCAGATGGATAGGAGCGCACTCCTAATGGCTCGCGCCACTTAGCTTTCTCTTCAGCAGCTTGCGGCTCCACGCGCCCATTGTCTGCGCGCGCGCAGGAAAAATAGCGCACAGTGCGCCCTCGGGGGGTTCAAACTCCGTCGCGAAACACTGGCAAGAGCACGAACGCAAGCAATTATGGGGACTATAAAGCCGACATTGCCAGCAAAGCGAAAGCGCCAGGGACAGGGGAGCACCATTCCCCAACAGTCAGTACATCCAAGACAACGCGGGAATGAAAATGAAAAGGATAAGCAGGCTCATGTAGGTTGGCTCCTCCGGGGGAGTAGCGGTGAGTGGCTTTGTCGTAAGTTCTTCTAGTATGAAAGAGCTTACGCAATATATGCGAATAAAGTTGAAACCTAAATGTGTTCAATGCAGAGGATATATATTTTAAGATTGCTAACCGAACGATAAAGCTGACAATTTATTTACCTCGACTTCGAACACGTGCTCAGTATCGTCCAGGAAGATCACGCGCGCCTGCAGCCCGCTCTCCTTGGGCACATTGCGCGCGCTGGCTCTTCCCTGCGGAGTTCTGAAGAAGGGGAGCCTCTCGCACCTCTCCTCCATGGTCACCCTTCACACTCCACCCCTGAAGTAAAATACACCATTTAAGCCGCTTTCACACCGGACGCGAAACGAATTTTTCGCACGACAGATTACATTATTCAAAGTCGATGCAAAGACGCGAATACACGCGTTTCGCTTGTATTCGCGTCTTTGCATTGACTTTGAATGTAATCTGTCGTGCGAAAAATTCGTTTCGCGTCCGGTGTGAAAGCAGCTTTATAGTCACTCATTCTCCGTCAGTTTTATCTTAACGTCGTTGATCTGCAGTCCACAAGGCTTCACACGATATCGAGAGGTTTTTGACAGGGTGGCGAGGCAGATTAAACATGACACGAACCAAACAATGTTATGAATAACTCGATATTATTTTCTACAATTGCGATCGAGGAACGAACATATTGTGCGATAATGGGATTCTAATCCGAGTTTTAAATTACGAAATCGGTAACTATTAACCTAAAGCCGAAAATTAGAATTTAGCTTGCATTTGCAGTCATTCCTTTACATGTCAATTACTTGCTCAAAGGCTGTATTAATAGCGATTTGCACTGGTAGATTCATAAAAGGTATGTCGCTTATTATGAATTCCTTCTGCAGCTAAAATGTAGTTAGCCAATGTTAGCTTACTATTAAAATGCATAAAGTAAGATTCTTAGCAACAGTTAGCCAAACAGGAACGCGTAAAGTGCTTTTCATTTTCCCCAACAGAACTTTCCGACACCTGTATTGTCAGGAACACAAAAACGTACCTGAATTTCTGTCGTTTTCGGGTGTCATAATCCCAAACACACCGGGGACAATTCCGCTGGGACGGGCATCCTGCTTGCCTGCTTCAAAGGATAAGATGTCGCCCGGGGTAACAGAGGCGACGCGCAGCCACCTGACTGCGCTGTGGCCCCTCGTTGGGGAATGCCCAGACAATCTTTACTTGGCATTTGAATTGGTGGTCTTTGCAGAGATTATAAGTGTCAATTTCAAGTACTTGTGAAGCGGCCATAAATGTGTGTTCAAGCAAATAGTTTCATATTTACTTGATTGAAAAGCGATTACATCATGATTCTAGCAATTTCAATTTACTGAAAAACATGAACATAGTAAAACAAGATTACACTGGCTTGAAATCAAAAAGTTTTCCCCGTTTGAACTACTGCTGCTTAGTGAGTTAAACCACTTAGGCTATCGAATGGTTATGGACAAAGAAGTCAGATTACATACAGCACACAAATACATCTCACAAAAGTGGAAAAATCCGGCTGCATGGTGGATCTGGCATTTGTAGCCCGACAGCTACAAACATGGTTTGCAATCTAGACCACTCCAACACCAGACACGCCCAGCACTGGTCCCCAAAGCTTTCGCACCCTCGTTTCTCGTCACATCCATCCAGTGGCCAATCAGGTGCCTGCAGGTCCCCCGTCATTCATGAATGTCCTCCGCTGCTGAGGTCTGCGCGAGTCTCACTTATAAACACAGTGCATAAGGGCAAGTGGGCTCTTCCCCGCTTCGGATAACTGGGCTATCATATTTACGGCCTTCTCGATGGAAAAGGTTGCAGCAATGAGCACTTACACATAAACGCGCTAAAACATTATGACCACATGCATAATATGCTGTTGGTCCCGTTTGCCACCAAAGCAACTCCCCAGGTAAGCAGTGCACAAATGCCCAGTTTATGTCCATAGAGTTGAAGATAACGGTATTCATCAAACTACAGACTTTCTTGTATCGCTCCAACGTCCAGTTCTGACACTTGCCTGGCCATTGTAGGTACTTTCGACCGTAGATAGGGGTTAGAATGGGCACTAGGAGGGAAAAAAAAGTGTGTGTGTGTGTGTGTGTGTGTGTGGGTAGGCCACTGGTAGTTTCACTGACTGGAATATAAAGCACCATGTACAGATGGTCCATTCATTATACATGCTTGTAAAGCAAGTCAACAGGTGGACTTGTAAAGAAATGTAAATGATAAAACATTTCCGGAAATTTTCCTTAGATAGATACACCAACAGCAAAAAAAGATACCAAACACTAAAACATGCGATGGAAAAAGACAGATGGTGACTGAAACAGAAATCAAACTGTAAACAGTGTTTGCTAAAGCAGTGCTGGGGTCACTAATATAACATTCTGGCTGTTGTGACGACCTCATTCCACCACCTGCGGCCAGAACTGACAGGTAAAGTGATCAGGAAATTCTGGCAGAGTGAGGCCGGGTCATCAATATCATGAGAGACAGATAATGGACCAATTTTGGTTCAGGAAAAATGCAATTGTTATGTGCTGATGACCAAAAATCCCCATAGTCATTTTTGCCCAAAATCTAATTGGTTGTTGCATCTTGGTGGTTTTTAAGGTAATTATGAAAAATATAGTAATTTCACTAAATTAGTTTTACATCAAGACCGGATATGCATTTATCATGTTTATATATTTTATAATATCGACTATTTTTTAAAGGTTTAGTGACTTTTAACCATTTTGCATGTTGTCGACAGCCATTAATCCCTGGGGTCCACAGCAATCAGATTTAATTACACTACCTGACGAAGTATTAGGACGTTCCTCATTCTCACTCAACTTTTGATGTACGTGTTATATAATATATGCGAGTGTTGTAGGAATTTAATGGTGTCCTAAAATGTACATGTAAACATCACAGAACATTATCGAACATTTGAGGAAGCTACAGATATACATATTGGCGTATTTTTTTCTCTGTACGAAAAACTCAATTTTGGTCTGTCATAAGTAGGAGATATTATCATAAATTGTGCTTGCAAGATGGTAATTTTCAAATTTACACACGTTTGGAATTGTGTTCTTGTCATAATGGAAGATAAATGGCTACTATTTGTCCAATCATTATGATCAGGTGTGGCACATGGGGTGATATTGATTCTCTGTAAAAGGAGGGTCAAGCCTATATGGTGTATCAAATATGGGGAAATAAAAATGTTGCAGACCAAAAAAGAGAGAGTTGAGCGCAGGAACACATTCAGCAATTTGTACTCTGAAAAACGGGGGACTTTCCTATGCCAAAACTGCATCAAAACTGAATGTCCCAAAGTTGTCAGCCCAGTATACTGTGCAAAGGCAGGTGAAAACAGGGCAGTTAAATCCCAAAAGCACCGTGGCAGGCCACGTAAGAAATCAGCCGCTCAAGATAGGTTCATCTGTCTCACCAGCTTGAGGAACAGGCGTCTGACAGCTCCAGCAATCGCATCACAGCTGCAGGAGAACTCTGGCCTTGAACTGTCCAGTCGCACAGTAGCTTGCCGTCTGACAGACGCTGGTCTGAATGGTGTTGTGGCTGTCCGGGAACCTCTCCTGAGACGGGTCAATCGCACCAAAAGATTGATCTGGGCCAGAGAACACAAGAACTGGACAGTTGACAGGTGGAAACTTGCTCTCTGGACTGACGAGTCCAAATTTGACTTATTTGGCTCCAAGAGACGAATCTATGTGCGTCGTCGTCCCAATGAAAACTTCCACAAAGACTGTGTACAGCCAACAGTCAAGCATGGTGGTGGTCATGTGATGGTCTGGGGTTGTTTTGGTGGACAGCAGACTGGAGATCTTGTCAAAATTGATGGTATAATGAAGAGGGAACAATATTCAGAGATCCTGAAGGACCATGCCATCCCTTCTGGATGTCGTCTACTTGGCTGCAACTTTTGCTTCCAGCAAGATAATGATCCTAAACATTCATCAAAGCTGCGCAAGGGTCATTTAGAACAACGTGAGCGTCTTCGGCTGCTAGAAGTGATGTCATGGCTCCAAAATCTCCAGACCTGTCC